AAATGCGATGTTCTCCAATGAGTTCAGAATCTGAGTCACACTGTTTAGAACTATTGCCAGGGCTGATGTTGAAGGTGAAGGGCTTGTAGCCAAAAATGCTCACTCCACATAAGGCTGTAGGCCTAGAGTGAGGAACAGTTTGCTTGTTGTTTAAACAGGGCGGTGTGGATAAATATCAACAATGTGACCCTCTCCCAGGTACAGAATACACAGGCAGTGTCTGTCAGTCAAGGGGAACTTGCCACATGGTTGAAGCACTTTTGGAAAGATGCCTTTATTACCATAAGCTCTTGTTAGTAAAAGAGGATAATGCTACCTGGTGCTTGTGAGCTGTATACCTAAAGTTCTGCTTTGCCATAACCCATTTATTGCTTTAGAACGTTAAAGTAATATAGGCAATTACTGATGTTGCAACATTTTATATTTAATCAGCCTAGAATATAATTTTTCTAACTTAAATTTGAACTTCATACCTAATAAATGTCTGAGTTTTTCAACGTGTTCAGATAATCAAAGAACAGAGAGAAATGTAATTTTACATAATATTCTAGATATTCAAAGTCAAGCGTTCAGGTGACTGAATAAATTACCATGGCTCTTTTGGTATCAACTCTAATCTCTTTGGGGCAATATAATATTTCTAGCTTCAGCAACACGGCCCTATACCAATTTCAAGAATTTAATACTTCGCTATTTACAACAACCAAAAGGAACAATCTCAAAAATTAATAGGCTATGATTGCAATTAGAAATAGGAGATCCACCATATGGCTTAAAGGAAGTTTGGGATGCTGATCTCGGCAATCCCATACAAGAGATAAATTGGCAGAAATTACGGAATTCGGATGGATTCACTTCAGCTTCAGTGCAAGAACTACAGTGGAAGATTATACATCGCTGGCACCTGACTCCCATTAGACTGGCACATATATATAAAAATTATTGTTCCAAATGTTGGAGAGGTTGTAAAAAAAAAGGTCATTTTTTAAATTTGTGGTGGTCATGTGATAAAACTATACCCTTTTGGCATAAAATCCTTGGAGAGATACATAACATCACTAAACAAAGAATTGAATGCTCCCCAGAATTAGGCTTAGTAGATTTATTTGTACTTTGTTACTCCACAGAAATAAATATGAGCTCAATCTGTGACCATGAAATATCACACTAGATAAATGTTCAAATGAAACCAAGGCAAACAAATATGGTATACACAAATAAATGGTGATGAACATTAATTTTTGTTTAGCAACTATAGAAATTAAGGCTACCTTAACATTTACTTTAAGGCTACTTTAAATTTTCCAAAGAATATAAAAAGACATGTATTGTTTCCTTCATTTTCATTTAGCCCAGAGAAGTAATGCCTACAATGTATATTGTATTTCTAATTAGATGAAGTAAAGAGTATTGCACAGTGTATGCAACTCATAACTTTCAGCATCTTGATAGCTTCGTGCACAGCCACTTTGCTTCACTGACGGTCCTGTGCATGCACATAGCTACAAAGACAACTAGTGACGTCTTTGAAAGTAGTTGTGTCAGCCTTGCAAAAGATGGGGCTGCTTTAATGGTGTACCTTCATTCTAATCCAAGTTATGAAGCATCTATTTTAAATGCTTTGCAAACATTTTGCTACTTGATGACATGTTCAGCTCAGCTGCAGGTTGCAGCCTTTTGTTAAAAAAGACTTTGCAGATGTGGGGCCCTCTGGGGCTTTGAATTATATTCCTATCAGCCAGCAATGATCAAGAATGATTGTAATCCAAAACATTCTGAAGAAGGCTGGTTTAGGTTATTGACTAAGCTACATAGCATAGTCATCACTGGAATATGCACATGCACATTATTTGCTCAAACTAAGCAATACTGTCCATTCTGAATTTAATAATTGTTTTAAAATTAAATTTTAAGCACTCATTTAACTTTTCACTTTAAACACATTTGTAACATAATTCTAAAGAGTTTAGTAAATAGAGCTGAGTTAACGTAATGTGTTTAGGACTACAGCCTTGTATTACCACTGTTTGCAATGGCAACTGGCTTAACAGTAGGTATAGTCAACTAGATATTGAGTACAAATCAAAGAATGGGGGATAAAAACAGAAATACTGTACGTAAGTCACATTTCATTGCTCTACAAGAGCAACTTTTTAGGCCAAAAGGGAAACTAAGGCACACAAATTAATTCTGGCTACAAATCAAAGCATTGGGGAGGAGGGAAAACTATGCAGCAAAACACAAAAGCAGAATTTAATCCTTTGCTTCCCCTAGACTAGCTGGAATACATAGTACAGAAGAGGTAAAATGGGGGGAAAAAAGAAAAAAGAACTGAACAATTATAGAAGTGAAAGTCTGTGAAAGCTGTTAAAGTTGTTTGAAATTAGTTTTTAAAATGAACAAAATAGCAAGCAATTCTCCTATTTTCACTGTCCCAAAAACAAAATAATGGTTCCTATTGCCTACTTCCATTCTGTAGATTCTCGACTTACTGCATATCAGACTCCACATGCAGATGTCAAAGGTATTCACTCTCCCGCTGTCTCTGATAAAAATTACTCAAGAATAAGTACACAGAAAGGGAGAGGGCTTTCCCATTTTTTCCCAGTAAAATAAAAAGCCAGTCAGACCACTATATATGTTCAGCTGTGGGAATAATTAGAAGATATACCATTGACTCTGAATCTCTTCTGTGGACATCCAACTCAATGACTCATCCTGCTTGGCCTGGGGAAACTTAGAAGGGAAGATGTGAAGCAGAGCACTCTTCCTAGATGTCCTGCCTTAACAGCTCTACAACTACTCATGGCTAGCTGAAGGAATGTATCAAGGATGCATATCCCACTCCTTGAGATATTTAATTGCTGGAACCACTTTTCCTGGGTTTCTTTTGTGCAAAAACGTACTTAAATTTAACTTTAAATCAAGGAAAGTGCAAGACGTTCCATTCTGGTTCCTTCCTGAATTCAAGCACCCATCACCTCAGCCAGTACACGTAATGTTCAGGGTTGATGAAGGTCAATGAAAATTTGAGGAACACAGGCTTCCCTTCCCTTATTTTAAAATTCTGTGTTCTTGAATCAAAGGCAATATATTATCAAATTGTCTAAAAATAAATTAAGAATTTATAACTTAAAACTCTATTCAACTCTCCCAATTTGCTAGTAGAAAGATTTGGTTTGATTCTGAGCAATCACAGACTGTAGAATTTAGAATTCAGCCATATATAATATCGAACATTAGTCTGCATATCAAAATGTCTTTGCAGGTGGAAAAACAAATCTCTTTATCTTAGTTCTCAGGATTATACCTAGGAAAAGTTACATTCATGTATCTTCTGAGATTATGACTATGTGAAAACTCCCATAATGCAGCCAACCCCAACCTGGTACCCTACAGATGTGTTGAACTTGAATTTTCATAAACAGGGATGATTGTGGGGTGGGGGGATAAGAAGGGTCACACTGATGCTTCATGATACAAGCCCCACTCTTTTTGTATATGTGCTGCAATGTTGCATGCATGCCCAACAGGGACAGAGCTTGTGGCATGACACCACTTTTGCTAGAATAATGAAAGTGGACAATTTCTGAGGATGCAACTATTCATAATCATTAACCAGGAGACTATCTGAATGCTGAAAACTTATTTTTATAGTAGCAAGAAAGGACAAGAAATGAGAAGAAAGTACATCTTTTTCTGCTAACTGAACTTCACCATGTAGTTGACCCTAACCCTATCCCAACATAGGATACAAGTTGAATAATTTATTTAAGTAATTATGCAACCTCCCAAACAAATTATCCTTTTATTTCCAGTGTGCTAGGCCATCTGAACTGGGATTGTAGTTCTAGCCTGGGGGCAACTACTGACACTCAACTAACAGCTTGTACAGTTTGGCTGCTATATCAAACTATGACTGATAAAAGATTAAGATGTGGTAAGAGAAAGAAGGATGTGCAAAGCACAGCCTTTCTTCATATATCTTTGAATTGCAATTTGGTGCTATAGTTGAAGCAATCCAGAGTATGTGAAGCATGCCACTTCTTAGCATTGTCATTAGTCCCTCCAAAGCTTCCAAGTCCTAATTCCTCGTCTTGTGTATACAGGCAGTCCTTGTTTAATGTTCACTTGTTCAGTGACTGTTTGAAGTTACAATGGTGCTAAACAAGAGGTCTTACAACCAGTCCTCATAATTGTGGCTGTCCCAGCGGCCCTGCAGTCACGACTGCAATTCAGGCGCTTGGCAACCAGCTCAAAATTACAACGGTTGCAGTACCCTGTGGTCATGCCATTTGCAAACATCACTGCCAGCTTCCGACAAACAAAGTCAATGAGGAAGCTGGCAGGAGGTCAAAAATGGCGACCACACAACATCATGCTTAACAATGTCGCCGAATTTGCTTAATTGTGGCAACCAGAACTGCTGCAACTGCAGTTGTAAGTCAGCATGGTCATGTGATGTCGCGCTTTATGACAGCGTTGCTTAACAATGGAGTTGCTGGCCCCAATTACTGTTGTTAAGCAAGGACTACCGGTATCTCCCTATTTTTTCATAAGAATAAAACTAAATATAATTCTGACCAAAGCTTTTCGTCATGTATCCTGTTGTGTCCATTTTTCTGACTTTCTTCTATCACTCGTGCTAGGTTCAGATATCTCGAATGACAATTCAAATATTCTTCTATTTACTTCAGATGCACATGGCTAGCTTTGCTTCAAAAGGCCAACTAATAATTGTAATGATTCAGTCACATACTTAATGAAATTCCTCATTGGTTTTTAGAAAAAACTTGATTATGACCAGGGAGGGTGCGTAAGTCCATGTAAATAAACACATAATTACATATACACACTAGCTACTTTCTGTTGTTATTCTGTTGGATTTTCACATCACAGTATTATTATGAACATTCAACGTGGTTTAAATGCAAAGTTCAAATTTATTATTAATTTATTAATTGAATTTGCAAAGAAATTCAATTAATGGCAACATTTACCTGCCAGAAGTCTGTGACAGTAGAAGGTAATGCACCCTGAGCAGCTATATATGCAGGGCTTCTAGGATCATGGTCCATCTGTGAAGAAAGGTGGGGGGGAAGAACCTAATTAAAAGTGTTCAACAAGAGAAAACTAATAGCACAGAATTCTATTTCAGAAGAGAAAACTAAATTCTGATATTCTGGATTATATTTGTGAACTAAATTAACTAGGAAAGCATTTCTGCTATTTCTTGAAGAAAGCAAAAGCATTGTATTTCTTCCTTTATTAAAGGAGCACTTTTCCTAAACAAATTAGTGCTACTAGTCTAATATTAAGATACCCAACAATTAACAATCTATGTTCTAAATTTGCAGTATGAGATCATTTAAGGAGGATTTGCTGGCAAAATGCATTTACTCAAGGGTTTGTTAGTCTCATAGCAACGTAGAAGCCACTTCAAACATTTTTCAGTATTGAGCATTAGGAATGCAGGGCACATTTAAGTATTTCTTTTATTTCCGTCATAGCACTCAAGGGCACAAGCACATAAAAACAAAGCAGAATTGAAGAAAAAAACCTCAATCCTAGCCTTTTCTGCTTAGTTCATTTGTTTAAAATATAGGCTTCTAACCTTCAATAGAGGAAGTTCTGTTTAAAGAGTTTAATTATTATATCTGCTTTAAAGAGTGGCTGAGCAAAAAAAAAAAAAAGGAATCCTCTGAAACAAAGCCATGAAGAGTAAATAGGATTTTAGGTGGTTACAATGAGTGTTTTCAAACTGATGGGTGTGTTTTCAGGCCCTAAATCTCTGGCCCCATTCTCCTAATAAGGACAAGATCAGCCGATGGGAATTTAACCACAATAAAAGCAACAAAAAAACCATTGATAGTAACTCTTAAAAAGAATTAATACGTATACACATACAGAAGCACGGCCAATATTCTGCTTGTAGTTACAAGAGCACTAGATCTTGCTGAACAACTGAGCTTATTACATTCCCAAAATACAACTAAACTTAATACTAAAAAAAACAGATGAAAACATCTAATAAACCAATGGAATCTTTGCAAAATAAAAATTAAAGCAGTCAACTAAGTAATTTTAAGATCCAAGCTACATATTAGATGCAAGATATCTCTGTGGAATCCCTAAAACAAAACAAAACAAAACAAAACAAAACACCTAAAATGTTCTGAGAAGTATGTGAGTTTGAAGTCTCCTGCCTTGATTAAAATAATGCACTGTCCTATTGACTTGCTTATTTTAACATTTCAAGAAAGAATTGGGAACAGAAGGGTTCTAAAATTTTACTTCAGATCCTTCTAGTCTAGTCCTATTAAGCTATTTCAGTTCCCATGACTTTTACATGTATAATAGTAGCAAAAAGAGGTATTGCATGCTTGGCAAATTTAGCAAAACTGTTCAACCTTGACTGGTTTAGGACTAATTATTGTTAAAATGCATACTCTTACTTTGCTACAGGCTGCTGTAAGCCCTGCTGGTCCATTAAAAAAAAAAAAGAGTATATGCATTTCTAGCCTAGCATTTCTACTTGCAACGGGATAGTAGAAGAAAATTAGTCTGTTGGACAAGGGCTAAGAAAGAATCCATTAACAGGATCATAACTAGGAGATATCAGGGCAAGGAGGTGGACATTAATCAAATAAAATTGGGAAAGATTTCAAAAGGTTTAGGATAAGGATCTGCAACTGATAGGAAGAAAGCAGGAACAAAAAGTAACAATGAACAGATTTCATGAAAATAAGTTGATACACTACTTTCTAATCTACCTGTGAGTTGGCTCTTAGTGTTTACTCATGATCTGGAAAATTATAAATGGGGTGGTACTATATTCTGCCCTGACTGTACCACACTGACATGAAGACTATATGAGCCATGCTGAACCAGACCAAATAGCTATATTAAAGCCAACCAATTATTCCCACAATGGCCAATCAAAAGCCTCTGAGAATAGAACATGAGCATATCAGCATTTTTGCTCATATTTGTCAGCAACTAGTACTGAGAGGAATAGATAGTTTTATCCTCAATTCTCCTTATTCATTCAACTGCAGAAAGAATGAGCTAAAAGGCAGGTACAAACTTTGCCTTCCCATTCGGTGTGATTTCTTCACAGGACAGATGAGAATAAAGCTATCACACATGCTTTGTTATTAATATCTGAATAGATTATGTCAATGTAATGCTCAAAATAGTAAAATAATGCAGAATGATGGAATTCTTTAACCATGAAGGCAATCTATATATGTAGTCCTGGCCCCCTGCATAAACAGGTAGAATACAAAATTGCACACAAAATCCAAAGCACTTTTGTTAATCAGTTGTAGCATTCACATGTATGAATCATTCTAGACTGGATAAGGAAAAAAAAATCAGAGAAGGGGAGCAGCAGCACTGATGGATACACCAATGAAGGCCAAAGTCGGACGTCAGTATTGGAGTAAAGACACAACTAAACTAATACACATTCAGCCAAATCTTTTGAACCACTGTAGCTTCTATAGGAAGTTAACACCAGTGATGTCATTTTCCTCAAATGAAAATAAACTGATACAACCCCTCTGGAAATATTAACTAAGGAATACTTCATATATATGTTTTGGCTGCTTAAGAGTCAGTTTATAAGCAGTCCCTAAAGGGATTTGGAACTTGGAGCACAGAAATAATAAAAACGTTTTTATGAGTGCAGTTACGAGATGAATTGTACACTCTACCTGTGAGTGTCAGTCCTTACAAGGTCAGAACCAAAAAGCCTGAAGCCAGACTGTTCCATTGCTACAAGAGATAGGTAGAAGCTGTCCCTCCATTACACTGTGCAGCCAGGAGGTTAAGGTTCAGTACAAGAATTTGAACTTTAACTTCACTGCAGATAGCCCTTGCATTTGGTACACAGCAATCACTGGAATGCAACTGTACTGTAACTTTTCAATAATAAATTGTAAGCTATCCAGCAATACAATTTGTATTGTATCCAGCAATACAAGCAATACAGCAATACAATAATCGATTGACTCATTAGAATTATCATTTTCCAGCTTGCAAAATATAGGATTCTCAGGCAATATAAAATAAAGTTGGCTGAATCCAAATAGTTACAGTAGAAAAATGATATATTGTTTGCCCTCACAAAATTCTCATTTATCATTGTGGCACAGAGAGTGCTAATGTGCAGTTAGTGTTTCCACTATTTTACCTGATAAGTATTATCAAGGATCATTTGAAGCAAAGCACAATTAAAATGTTAATTTTAGCTATCTCTGCAATACAACATAATTCTGAGTGTTATGTTTAAGGATATACTGAAGCATCTATAAATCTAGGATGCTTTAATACCAAGTTACATTAGTTCCTTTGGCCCCTATTTAAAACTGACCTAAAATGATTTAAAAATAGATGCCATATTGGATATAAATACATTATAGAAAATTATATTTGAATTTTTAAAATTCTGATGTTAATTCTTACTGCATGTTTATGTTGCCCACAAGTTAATGCTGGAGTGATAAATTCAGATTCTTATTTATAGAGACAGTGTTATTTTACCCTTCTGTTTTAACACACACTTCATGAATATTTATGCGCCCTGAAAAAAACTATTTTTTTTAAACAAAATACTCAGCATTAAAAGGAAAACAAGAAAAGGTCAAACAACATACTGGGGATGCTTCATGAGTGTCGTTGATGTAGTCTTGCGATTGGAATGTGTTATTATCTACCTTGAGCGTCATGGGCTATTGTTTGTAACTGTTGGTTTTTAGTCATTCTACATCGCCCAGAGTTTCTGCTATGAGATGGGTGGTCGTATAAATTATTTAAATAAATAAACAAATGATAGAATTTAATGCAAAAAATATACCCTATCCAAACAAACATGTCCTTTCTTTACCATTCAACTCGATTCAAACCACTTTCATACCACTTTAGGACCTTTGTTTCCCTTCTCTAGTTATTATACTGCTCTTAGATTCAGTCTTCTTCCATTTAATTATTTAGTTTTGGACAATTCTGTAGCAAAACACTAGTTATACATGTGCATGTATGTGTGTAAGTTTTCCCATTTATACTAACTTAAAGTACATATATTTATTCCAAGAATGTTCTCTGTGTAATTTACATAAATTCATAAAGGCTATTTTTCAAATTGACCCTGGTCAGCATAACTGGCAATCCCAGATGTAGTCTTGGTTCCATGTTCATGTTACTATATATCACACATGGTTTTAGCCCTCTAAAAGTAAAACTAAACCTAAAACATAATACAATCATACAGGATATAAAGGAAATGTTACCAGAACCTGCATTCTTTCATTTAAAATAAAAGGGACATAGAAAATAGAAAAAAATGGTTTATTTCATTTCATTAAGGTTCTTAAAGGAAGGAATTTAGAAGAGAGGAATTAGAGAGAGAAAACCATTTTTCTTACAATTCACAATAAAGATCAATTATTTTCATTTCTATTTTTAAATACGGGGGTAAGTGATGCCATTAATTCATACACTCTGGAAATATACCCTCTGCATATGATTATAGCATATTTTAGTTATATTGACATGATAATCCTCAGGATGTATCTCAATATTAAAACAAAGTATGCTGTGCTTGAAAAAAAAGTCATGCTATTCACTTTCTCAGTCTGGCTGCATCAACAGCAAGCAAACTGAGGGGTAGTGTTTATTTTTTAAAGTAGTTGGTGTTCTTCCCTTTCCCTCTCCAACACCCTAGGAAAAAAAAACAGAATTCCCATTTATTTTCATGACCTCTGACTTAAAAGCAAAGATTGCACATTATTTACTACTGGATGATTTCTCTGAAATTTAATGAGTACTAACTACAAATATGACAGATGTAATTATCACGGTTTTATACTGCACAGTCAGGGTTTCCTTGTGCTGTAATTGCAAGCTTTTTATTCAGCTGCTGGCAGAAAAGTTATTACCATAGTATTTTATGTTATTTCAGAAAACACGAAATAAGGCTTCCAGCTTTATTTTATTCCAAGGAATTTCTAAGCATCCTTTCTATCCAGTTCTTACATTAGAATGTTTAAAGAATCAAGTTATGTGATTGGATGGTTTTGCAGAACTTCATGTTCTGAGTGCAAAAAGTCTGGATATTATAAATATATTGAAAAGCATGGGCAAGTATGCGTGCATCTGTGTGTGCACTAAGAGGGAGCTGGTAAGCAGCTCTGATAGAGAGACATGTGGGCAGGTGGCCAAGTCATTCTCTAGTGTAAAGAAGCCCTGTCCCCCTCCCCTGCTACCTCCCATATACAGCTTTACTCATTTAAACTCAAACCAAGATTGAGTGAGCCCCAGCTGGATGCTAGACCACTGACCCTGAAGCTGGAAAATAACACAGCTATAAGCACACCCATGGAAACCTTCCTTTCCAAAGCCTAGATGTAATTGCTTCATGTTCCATTCTGATGTTCTCAGGCATCTTGCACTCTGAAATAAAACTTCCTACTCCAATTCATAGTTTCTAGCTTTAGTATTAATTCTCTGTTTGGGATATCTAAGTATTACAAGGACCAAATATAACAAATCACTGTTTTACTGGCATGATAATTATTGGAAATCTTTAAAACTGAATGCCAATTTTAAAACATATTGACAGATTTTTTTTTAACAGTGAAAAAAAAATCTAATCACTGGGATTTCAAATCTCAGCTAAAGATTCACTTATCTGCTATACTGTACCAGCTACTTTCACCCAGTGTAGATTAGATTTGGGTTAAATTTTGCAAAAACACACCCACACCCACACTTTCATTCATTCATTCACTCAAATGAGATGTGAAATTAATAACTTATCTGTAGAACTTGCTTACAAAACAACACTACCTCCTCAAAAAACATTTAAAACAGATTTTAAAAATGGAGGCAAGATAAAACATCAAACATGCCTCATACTGAACAGCAATTTATTCCATCCAATGAAAGCATAATTTAATGCCATACAGTTGAACTAGAATTTAAATATATTTATAGAGCTTAGTGTTTGCTGCAGACCCTATTTTGTTATTGGAAAGAACTTGCAAGTAACAAGAGATTGCTTCTATGACTCATGCATTTTGAATCAAAATGAAGCCACAATTTTATTCAGAATTTAGTTTGTTAGATATTATAATGGCTACAGAAAATTGGCTGAGATACAAGGGAAAGACTGAAGTCATTCCCAGCAATGATACATGAACTGGCATTTTCATTCTGAGGCAGTTCACTTCCAGCCTGATTTAGCAGGGCTTTTCTATGCAATAATGTTTACACCTGAATAAATATACAGCTGTTACTCTGCTTATGGGGATTTAGAAGTTGGATAATAAATGTTTCTGGTGTCCATAGCAGTTGGTAGCATGTAGCAATGTTACTTTGCCTGATCTCAAAAAAAGCTAGCATTCTTAGGGCTGTAGCTGAATAGAAAATCAAAAAAACAAACCAAAACCCAGAAAAAATCTGGGGCAAGTTAATTCTGAATAATTTCCAAGAAAACTGTGTAGATATGTCCATGTACTTACCAGGAGTCAAACTCAATTCAAGGGAGACTTTATCTTTTTTAACCTGATCTATGTTTCCTAACAACACTCTGTCAATTGAGAAAAATCAGTTATGGGGAAAATCATGTTGTCCCAAACTATGGCAAATGCTACAGAAACCTACTGAAGAGTGCTGGTTAAGTATGTGCTCCCTGCTGAAAGCACTTCATTTATCTAAACTTGTACATGGTAACACTGTTAGACTAATGCATATTTCAACTCGTGGGAACTCTGAAGAACATTTGTTATGTATAACTCTTACCAGGAATATTTAGGCAACTAAATAGCAAACTTGCAGTCAAAATCATAGGAAGAACATAAATGAAACTGCATGGGATATGCACTCATTCCAAAATTTAGTTTGGACCTTGTGTGGCAATGTGAAAACAGCCCAGTTCACTTCCAACCAATATGGAGACTAGCAGACATGTTTTGCAGCTAAACCCTAACTCATGTCTCCCACTAACTAGTATTAATGTTTCCAAGCATAGAAGATCGAGAGGATAAAATCTGGCTCATTTCAGATAAGTAGGTATAAGAGTCTTTGTGCTAGGCACCTTAAATCCTTTTTTTTCCTAATTGCTAGAGCTCAATGAACTTTGCAAGCTATTTGCACTTTCTGAAGGGGACTTGCCAAATTATATAAATAGGTTTAGGAGTTTTTGTGCAACTGTAGCCTTCAGAATTTGGGAATAAAATTAGCATATAAATATTTTCTTTAGTAAATAAATAATTCCTACAAACATGATTATATCAATGTATATGCAGATACCAGAGACTGCAACCATAATCTCCATCAAAATAAAACTTCTACTTTTATACAAGTAATTAATTAATTAACTGGATTAAAAAATCAATCTTAGTTCACAGTTCATAAGAAGTAAGTTTATTTTTTCATACTTACAATTGGACTTGCGTTGATGTAGTCTGAGTTGTCATGGCTGTTTTCAGCTTTCAAACATATCCTGCAATGATCATCTTCCCCCCACAAATATATATATTTATTTATAATGTGTGCATATATGTATATATTAAAATATGCATATTAATATAGATATTTCAAAGGCTGAACTCAGAAAAATATTTTTAACTTGAGGAGAGAAATATCATGTACTTGAGTTTCAGCATACTTGCTTTTAAACATACTCTCTATGACTATTTTAGATAGTGAATCCTGAAACACAACATTCTTGTTCTGGAGTTGCTGTTAAAACAAAAACAAAAATAAAAACACCATACTGGAGTATTATACCAATTCATCTGCTCCGAAGAGCTGACTTATTTCCTTCCTTCTCTTGTTTATTCCCACTTTTTCTCCAGGACAGAGGTAAATGAGGATCTCCCTTCATTTTATTCCTGCAACAATAACCCTGCAAGGTATGCTGGGCAGAAAGAAAATTATTGGCCCCAAGTCACTCCGCTGACTTAAAACCAGGTTTCCTCCATCCTAATTCAATATCTTAAAAACTAGACCACTAGAATATCTTATATTCCTATTTTGGTATTTCAAGCTACACTGAACAACTATTTAGAAGAAATAAGAACAGTGTGCTGTAGTTGATCTATATGCCAGCATTACTCGTTGAATGGAGCTATCTGACAGCATCACTGTAATGTTGAAGAAAGACCATACATGTTTCATGACAATCAGAAAAATTGAAACAGACCATTTTGGTAAATTCTCCATGTAAACACATGCTAAAAACTTGGGATCTATTTCCCCAGGCATCTACATCACATCTCTGACTTTCCTGATGTTGCTAAGTAACCATTAAAAAAAATCCTTATCATTAGCTATGCTGTCTGGAGTTGCTGTACATTAGGAACATCTAGGAAGCCAAAGATTCCCTAGTCCTAATGTAGCTGTTATTCCTTTATAATAACATCTCTCTCTTGATCAGAAGTGTATCAAATTCACTAAAAACCGTGGAGTCCTTGGAGTTCTCTGAGCTTGGATGTTTTCTTGCAGAGTTTCATTACCCGACTAGGTGACATCTTCAGTGCTACAATGGAGTGGGGTTTGCTCTCTGTTTATATACAGTGGCTTGTCCTGCCAGTTCCCCACCAACACTGGCAAGACAAGCCACTGAATATAAACAGAGAGTAAACCCCACTCCATTCTAGCACTGAAGATCTTACCTAGCCGGGTAACGAAACGTTTGCAAGAAAACAACCAAGCTCAGAGAACTCCAAGGACTCCACGGTTTTTAGTGAATTTGATACACTTCTGATCAAGAGAGAGATGTTATTATAAAGGAATAAC